GCGCCTGGGTGGCTCAGTCAGTTAAGCATCTGACTTCGGCTCAGGTCATGATCCCACAGGTTGTGGATTTGAGCCCCGCATCAGGCTCTGTGCTGACAGTTAACTCAGAGCCTGGAGCCTGTTTCGGATTCTGTATCTCCCTCTCTCTCTGACCCAGCTCACGCTGTCTCTCTCTCTCTCTCTCTCTCAGAAATAAATAAAAAACATTAAAAAAAAAAAAAGAAGAAAACTGGTAACCTGATTGAATGCTGTATAACAATGCAACTTTTAAATAGACTACTTTTGAAAGCAGAACCATTATAGATATAAATATGTATTTATTCGACATGCATTCATGGGTCGATTAATATTTATTAAAATGATATTTACTCAGTTAATATTTTGAAGTAGTTAGTTGAATTTAACTGTTTCTGATAATAGTGAAATGCCTTGTAGCAAATATGCTTCCAAAGAAAAACAACTAGAAAATGGCTACCAAGGGAACTAGGATTTGAGAGGTCAGGATTCTGGAAAGAATAAAGAAAGCTCACTGAAGTGAGCCTGGCATGGAACTGAACTACATTTTTCCCAGAAGGGATGTGCCAAAATCCTAAACTACATAAGGCTGAGAGGCCAGGAAACATCAGCTAGAAGGCTAAGAATGTGAAGTAAACTTTCAGCAGCCTTATAGGGTTGGATAAACAAAAGTTAAGACCTCAGGGCTACTAATCAACAGGGATCTCCAGGGCAGTAATTCCAGAAAGAAAGAAAGTGCATTAAAGTAAATACGATATATTGTGTTGCTGAGACATTTACTGATTTATAAGCAGCTTTGTGGCCAAAAGGTAAGCAGAATACTGGCTAAGAATAGAACTTTGGTAAGTTTCATAGAGCAAGGTTAACAAAAATTAGACATTAGAGCCTGTCAAAGGAGAGGGACTTTGGCATGCATCCCAGACTTCCACATAGGACTCTGGAAGCTACACTTTAGGAATAAGAAGAGACCTGAATATGGACCTAACCTAACAAAACACTCAAACCTACCTTGCAGAAATTCAATACCAAACTGAATCAAAGTAATTTGCCCCTACTTTGGCTACACGTCAGAAAGCAATTAGAATTCCTTTCTGGTAAAAAAGTAACATTTTCTTGTGTTTCTAATAGTCTTTAAAAGTATCATAAATAATGTCTGGTATCCAACTGAAGATTACCAACTATATCAAGTTAAAAAAACAAATGGCTGAAAACCAAAAGGAAAACAAATGGAAGATTCATAGGTGACCCAGGTACTAGTTTCTTACACAAAGATGTAATAATAACTGTCATTAATTCTTAACAGATGAAAAGTTGGAATTTAACCAGAGAACTGAGTTTATTTAAAACATTACATGGAAATTAAAAAACTAAAATATGTTATACTGTTGTGCCTGAATCGCGAGTCCCAGAGACCTCCAAGGAGCCGGCACCGATGCAAATACAAAAGGGTCTTTATTACAAGCTCGAGCAGGGGCTCATCCGCCTACCGGTGTCATGGCAGCAAGGTGAAGCAAAGAACAATAGCGAACAGGGTTTTTAAGTAGTAAGGGATGGGGGTGTTACAGTACATGTAGCATCATCACATAAGCACCAATTACAATTACAGCTTTGACCATTCAGTATCTGTGACGTGTTCTTTACTTTTGGTGGGACCCAATCATGACTCTTGAGAATCCTTTGAAAATGACAAATTATGAGGTGAGTTTAAAGGGCCCACGTGGGGTTCAGGCAAGTGGTGAGAAACTGGCTAGTTTGTATCTGCAGTTCCCAGCCTTGACTCAGATCATAGGAATGTTTTTTGATTAGCTGAACTGAGGGCGGTCCAAGGATGGCTTTAGCCTTGAACAGTCTGAGGCTTTTCCTGGAACTGGGACTGGGGCTACGTGCAGCCCGAGGTTTCTCTTAATGGAGGACTTAATTTTTGGCTCTTCAATACCTAAAAGTAACACTTGTTCAACAGGAGATAAGACAAAGTAGAAAAGAGGAAGTAACAGGGAAGGTAGGTAAATAAAAAATATTCCAGGGCACCTGGGGGGCTCAGTCAGTTAAGCATCTCAGGTAACAATCTCAGTTACTGAGTTCAAGCCCTGCACTGGGCTGAAAGCATAGAGCTTTGGATTCTCTCTCCCCCCTTCTCTCTCTCTGCCCCTTCTCTGCTCACTCACTCTCTCTCTCAAAATAAATAAACATTTTTTGAAATATTCTGATTTATGCAAGGAGAGCACTAAATGAGGGAAATATATAATATGGCTAGAGATGTGGGATGATAAAAATGTTTTTTAAATTTATTTATTTTGAGAGAGAAAGACAGGGAGAGAGAAAGAGAGAGAGCAGGGAAGGGGCAGAGAGAGGGAGATGAGAGAGAGAATCCTAAGTAGGCTCTGCATCCCCAGGATAGAGCCCGATGCAGGGCTCAAACTCATGAAGTGTGAGATCATTACCTGTGCCCAAATCAAGAGTCAGACACTCAATCAACTAAGCCACCCAGGCGCCCCAATCATAAAAATGTTTACTTGCAGACCTGTGGAGAGGGGGAGAAATATTTGGAGATAATGATAAACATTTTTTTAATGATTAAAAAATGGAAGCCACATACATTAATCTCTCTAGAAACAAAGCAGGGTAAATGTAAAGAAAACCACACCCAGGCACAACACACTAATCAAATATTTTTAAAAATCAAATATCAAGACAGAATTTTAAAAACAGCCAGAAAAAACTTAATATCCTACTGACAAAGATGCAACAATAAGACTGATAGTTCTTTTTCAACTGAAACAATGGAAGCCAGAAGGCAATTAAAGCACATTTTTAAAATGTTAAGAGAAAATAAATGTCAACCTAGAATTCTGTAATAGTCATTAAAATTAGATAATGAAACAAAGATGTCTGTAGATTAAAAAAAATTAGAATATGTGACTAAAACATCAATACTAAAAGAAATAATTAAAGGAAATTTATAAGCAGCAAGAATTTCAGATAAAATAAAAAACCGCAGGAATAGAAATGTACAACCTTGTCTAAAATGATGGCAGCGCTTGAGTGGCTCAATTGGTTAAGTGTCTGTCTCTTGATTTTGGTTCAGTTCATGTTCTCACAGTCATAATATCAAGCCGTGTGTTGGGCATCACGCTGGATGAGCAATCTGCTTACCACTCTCTCTCTCTCTCTCCCTCTCCCTCTCCCTCTCCGTTGCACGTGTGTGCTCCCTCTGACCCTCCCCCACATGCATGTGAGCTCTCTGTCTTCCAAAAAAATAAATAAAGCATGATGATAATGATGGTGATATTGGTTTGGGGAGTTTAAAAGGTAGAATTATAATAATCGATGACAACAACTGCAAAAGATAGTGTGTTAAAAGGACACAGAACAGTATATGGCACAAGAAATGTAAAAGTACCAAGTTATCTTAGAGTTATTAAACTGAGAATCCATATTATAATCTCCGGGGTAATCACAACAGATAAATAATATTTACTTAAAAATCTAATAAAGGGCAATGATGAACACCAACAACTCAAACCCTGTATTGACCAAGTTAAGAAAGAGAAAAAGAACATGTATATATTATATACATGTGATATATACACTAGTAATATATATGCTAATATATAATTACTAGTATAGAACTAGTAATTATACTCAGAATCACATAGCCCACAGAAATGCATGTGTACTCACGTGAGAAGACATGCACAAGAAGCTGTACAACAATGTTATTTTTAAGAACTGGGAACTGGAAACAATCCAAACATCCATCAACATGAAAGAAATAGATTGTTTAATATAATCTTCTTTATAGATTATCCAGTGAATTACTATGCAGCCGATGAAATCAACTAACTACTGTAAGAAGAATCACACAGCTAATATCAAAAAAATGCTAAGTGAAAAAAAAAGGAAATGCAAGAGTATATAATGCATGATCACATTTAGTTCAAAACCAGTCAAAACAAATATATGGTTATTTAAAATCAGGATAATGATTAATCTGAGGAGAATGGAGAGGTGTTAACTGAAAAAGATGCCAGAGACTTTCTGGTCTGCTGGTAATGTTCGATTTTTCCATCTGGGTAATGGCCATGTGGGATCCCTTTACGAAAATTCATTTGAACTGTGTATGTATGATCTGTGTTGTTTTATGAATGATGTAATACTTGAACAAATTAATTCATTTTTAATGTGAAAAGGTAATAAGAGGCTCTTGATATAAAATAAATTTTAATATGTAGGATTTATAAGTTAATTAAAATAAATTTAACATTTAGATCCACATATGGTCTTCCTTATTTCTAAAATATTATTTTCCTGGGGAGCCTGGGTGGCTTAGTCGGTTAAGCGTCCGACTTTCGCTTGGGTCATGATCTCGCGGTTCGTAGGTTAGAGCCCAGCATCGGGCTCTGTGCTGACAGCCAGATCAGAGCCTGGAGCCTGTTTCAGTCTGTGACTCCCTCTCTCTCTGACCCTCCCCTGCTCGCACTGTCTCTCTCTCTCTCTCCTATAAAAAAAAAAAAAAAATTTAAAAAAAATAAAAAAATAAAATATTATTTTCCAGCTCATCATCAAAATGATCAAAATATTAGTAAAGTCTAGTTTTCCAATATAGATGTTTTCCAGCAAAAGGGATGGGGAAATCTTTTCATTTACTCCTTTAGCAAATATTCACTTTCTCTTCCATGTGTAACCTGAGGAACTTCAATGAATACAAAAACGTAAATGGCATAGTAACACTCCAGTTTATGTGGCACAGGCATGAGAGGAAAATGTGCTTCCAGGTTAATTTTTTGTTCCAGACTATTTTAGTATCTTATCAAGCATCTCCTCCAAGGATGATTACAACATGTCAGTCTAGGAAATTATATCCAAAATGGTGAGCAAATTTCATGATAGTTGTTCTTGACTTATAAAATCATACTGGAGATACCTAAAAATTATAAAATTCTAAGTTTATTTTCTATATTTTAAATAAACTTTACTAGGACCAATCTAGCATACTGTCCTGCTAATAATATTTGAGAAGAAGAAATAAAACAAAAAACATGGGGGAAGAGCTCAGATGTCAAAAGAACAATGGAGAGCATTTTTCATGAACTGCTTAGCTACAATCCATCTCAGACTTCGGGGCTGGTGTACATTTATGTTCAAGACTAACACTTGGATGACTATTCGATGGCAGCCTGCAGGGCCTCTGGAGATGGTGCAGAAGATGCCAGGCTGCACTTCCAATGCACCATCTTTCACAGCAGATGTTAAGTCCAAGACACCCTAGGGAAACATTAAGGCACTAGCTTCAGAGTTGGTACAGAGAAAAGGTACGTGTTCCATCTTTTAATAATATCCTCTCCAAGGCTCAGGGTCAGTTTTTAACACTTGTTGAGTGTTAAACTTCAGCTACATGTGCTACCAAATCCCCCAAATTATATGATGCATCTCTTTATAGAGTGAACAGAAAGCACTGGGGATTTGTAGAAAACAGTGCTGACCTGAAACCTGAAATCTACTTGAAATTGACTGGAAACTATTGCCACACAATCCCTGAGATATGAAAACAGGTATTTATGAGAATTTGAGGATTCATTTAGAAAAGAGGTTCTATTACACTCAGAAAAGCATCTCACATTCTACACTTCCACTCTACCATAGTTTTTTTTTATATTTCATACCAAAAGTCACAATCTAATTTTCAGTAAATCAACTGCACCACATTAGCTGAGGCCCATTCTATACTGCCTTCTTGTTGTTGCATCATTTGAGGACCTCACAAATTTGTGGAAGTTATAAAACAGCAAAAGGACTGAAGCACTACAATATCAATATTGTATAATCAATATGGAACCAAATTCCAGACAATATACATCAAGGAGATCTTGGTTAGGGTGAATTCCAGGCAGAATAAAGAATATACCTCAAGATGCAGAAATAACAAAACAAAACCAGTTGTTCTTTTTACTGGGAGAGAAGTTATATGTTTGAGAAATAAGTTGTAAATACCAGAATAAGCATTATGAACTTACTTGGACAAATCTAGCAAAGTGTCAAAAAAGAGTAAAAAGAAATGAAAGGAGACCAAAATGGATGAGCCAGTTAGAACACCTGCTTAGGTAATGCCAAAATGTAGCCTCTAATACCATTATGAGTATTAAGGGGGCACCTGGGTGGCTCAGTCAGTTAAGTGTCCCACATGATCTCCTGGTTTGTGAGTTCAAACTCTGTGCAGGACTCTGTGCTAACCACTCAGAGCTTGGAGCCTGCTCCAGATTTGTGTCTCCTTCTGTCTCTTCCCCTTTGCCCCTCGCACTATCTCAAAAATAAACATTAAAAAAATCTAGATGACTTTTTATTCGATCTTTTGTAGTGCTCTCTACTTGACCGAGTTAAAAAAAAAACAAACATACCACAGGAATTAGATATCTGAGTTTTAATATGATCCAATAATTCCACTACTACTTACCCAAAGAAAACAAAAACACCAATTTAAAACAGCATTGATTACAATATTTACATTATTACACTAGCTACAATATGGAAGAAAGCTATGTATCCATCATTACACACACACACACACACACACACACACACACACACACACACAAATATAGTATTAAGCAGCCTCAAAAAAGGTTAAGATCCTGCCATTTGTGACAACATGAATGGACCCAGAAGGTGTAATGCTAAGTGAAGTCAGACAGAGCAAACCAAATATCATATAATCTTACTCCGATATGGAATCTAAAAAATACAAATGGATAAACAAACAAAAAGCAGGATGAGACCCATAAATTCAGAAAACAAACTGATGGTTGTCAGACACAAGAGGGATGGGGGACAAAACAAAATGGGTGAAGGGGAGTGGGTAGTACAGGATTCCAGTTACGGAAGGAATATGTAATGGGAATAAAAGGCACAGCAGAGGGAATAGATTCAATGGTATTATGACAGCATTGTATGGTAACAGATTGGTAGTGGTGAGTAGAGTATAAGATATAGAAAAGTTGAACTTTGTACACCTGAAACTTATGTAACATTATGTGACAAGTATTCTCCAAAAAATTAAAAAATAAATAATTTACATAGAAATAAATTATATTATTTCTAATGTATATTCTGATACAATTGCTAAATATTAAAAAAAATTGATAAAGTAAACAAAAAAACTGACTTTTGTCCCTAGGAGAAGACAGTTTGGGTCCTGGCCAAATCTGTGCTCCTTGAATTGCAATTCTAAGACCCTAAATAAACGCTTTTGTTTTATTTAAAAAAAAAAAAAAAGGTGGGCGGAGGGCCTTGGGTGGCTTGGTTGGTTAAGCATCTGACTTCGGCTCAGGTCACGATCTCACAGTTCATGGGTTCGAGCCCCACATCAGGCTCTGTGCTGATCGCTCAGAGCCTGGAACATGCTTCGGATTCTGTTTCTCCCTCTCTATCTGCCTCTCCTCTGCCCATGCTCGCTTGCTCTCTCTTTCTCTCTCTCTCTCTCTCTAATAAACAAACATTAAAAAAATAATTTAAAAAAAGTTATCTGGATTTTAAACTTTGCTCTGTCAGTAACTGGTTATTTAACCTCAGAAAAGTCCATCTTGCCGGCCTACAATTTCTCCACAAATAGAAGATGAGGTTACTCAGATTCATTTAAGCATATATAAAAACAATAAATAAATAAAAACAAAATAAAATAATACAATAACATAAAATATTTATCATATAATTACATTTTCAGAATCAGCAGAGATTTCTAATTTGTGCTATTTTGGTTTTGGTATTCAGAGTGATAATGATCCCTTGTTTTCCTTTATAGTAAGAGACTTAAGGATGCTTGCTGCTTTCAATGTCAACTTTTAAATACTTAGCTTCATAGTTGTTAATAAATACTCATTTCTTTCAAAGCACATTATTTTGCGCTGATCATTCTGCCAGTTGTGTTTTATTCTAGATTTCACTATGTCCAAGAGCTTTGCATCTTTACTAGCAGCATTAATATTCCATCATGAGTTATCACTGAAACTCATTATATTATACAAGCAAATCCACTTAAGGCATAAACGCATTTACAAAAGACACATTTAGCATGGAATATACTGGCACTCTACAATTAAGGTTCAGTCTCTTCTCAAAAATTATAACTATGAGAATAGTGCATGGTGAAGTTGGAAAAAGAATTTAAATTATGGTTTTTAATTTTAAGATCACAGATATACATACACACACGTGTTATCTAAAAGATATTTTTGCTACTCCACATCTGGTAGTAATCTGAGTCACAACTTCCTCTTGCTTGAGTTTGGCACTAACTGCTTTCTTAAAATGTTAAGCATAAGCTCTATGGATGGGTTCCAAAGTCAAATAGCAGATCCACTTAGATAAATTAACTAAAGTGTAAATAAATTACTGAGATTAAAGTAAATCTCACGGCACTCAGTTAATTATAAGAATAAAAATTCACATATTTTATATATACTGATTTTCTTTTTTAAGAAGAAAACAACAATTACAATAAATAGGCATAAAAGGTTTTCCCAAAATATCAGAAATAACTAAATATTTATTTAGTTATTTATACCAATACATAAAAATGCAGTGTACCTCATGATATATACCACAACACTGGTGTGTCTTCTGTCACATGTAAGTTGACAAAATTGTTAAAAATCTCCTTCTTTGAAACACAGGAAACAAAGTTACACCAAGCTGAACATACATTTCACTTGTACTAATTGAACTCTGTAAGGAAAATACCAATTTTAATAGTTAAAACAACTTTTCACTAGTTGTATAAGCTTAAGAACGAGACAGGAGGAAGAACTTGCTGTTTCTCGGGACACCTGGGTGGCTCAGTCAGTTAAGTGTCTAACTTTGGCTCATATAATGATCTTATAATTCATGAGTTCGAACCCCACATTGGGCTGTGTGCTGACAGCTCAGAGCCTGGAGCCTTCTTCGGATTCTTTGTCTCCCTCTCTCTCTCTGTCCCTGCCCCATTCGCACTGTCTCAAAAATAAATAGTGACAAAATTTTTTTTTTAATATTTTTTATTTATTTCTAGGATAGAGAGAGAGAGAGAGAGCATGAGCAGGGGAGGGTCAGAGAGAGAGGGAGACACAGACTCTGAAATAGGCTCCAGGCTCTGAGCCGGCAGTCAGCACAGAGCCCGACGCGGGGCTCGAACCCACGAACCGCGAGATCATGACCTAAGCGAAAGTCGGACACTCAACCGACTAAGCCACCCAGGCGCCCCTGTGACAAAAATTTTAAACAAGGAGATTTGCTGTTTCTCATGTGACTCTTCATCCCATTGTACACCTCAACATGAACTTCTTACTGGTTTTAGTGTAATGGTTTGATTTAACCTCAGTGTGTGAAAGTATAACATGTACAGCATCTTTACAACATATCTCCATGTAGTAGCCAAATGACTTCAACATATTTTTGATCAAAACAAACAAAAACACCAATCTGACACCATGGTAAAGAAATTACAGGCTTTGTTGGAGTTGTTAAAGTCTTTGTATCTCCAACATAGTGCTCTCCCAAGGAATTTTCAATGGTAAGCCTGCCAACATGCTATTTTGTTTTTGTCTATCAGACTCATTTTAGAACAAAATTTGTACTATTGTGTAACTTAGCTACAATGTGTTCTTCAAGTAGACATCCATGTATTTCAACTGACACTTTATATAGCACTCTGAGCACACACTGCTGTTGATTTCCTTTCCCTATCCCATTCTACAGTGCAGTCCCACAAAACTAAAATAATCTTTCTGGTAACTTTGAAGGCAATACTTGCAGATGCAAAGATGCAAATTCTCCCAAGCATGGGTACCAGACTTCCTAGTCCACTGAGCTGGAGGAACACAAAATGTGGAATTCTGAAGCTAAGACCAGAGACTCTGTGGTTGCACGTAAGTTCCCAGACTGTGCATGACAGAGGACGCCTCATGTGCATAGAGAATTAAAGCATTTGTCTACCTCCTGCATTTAGTCCTCTGGGAAGCATCTAATTTTTTTTTATTTAATGTTTATTTATTTCTGAGAGAGAGAGAGAGAGAGAGAGAGAGAGAGAGAGGCAGGCAGAGTGGGAGCAAGGAAGGGCAAAGAGGGGGAGACACAGAATTGGACCAGGTTCCAGGCTCTGAGCTGTCAGCACAGAGCCTTACAGAAGCCTCAAACTCACAAACTGTGAAATCAAGACCTGAGCCAAAATGACGCTTAACCGACTGAGCCACCCAGGTGCCTCTTCTCTGGAAGTCTCCCAGGAGACCACCAGATCC